ATTATATTAAATTATTTTATTATGCCAACTAAGCACCTAAATCAATAGAATGCATCTGCATTGCAAAGTGTCAAATGTAACTCTAAAATATTAGGTTGTTTGCTATTAAAAAGCTTGAATTCAAAATGCAATAATATATAAAGATCATAAAAAAAATGTTATTCTAACTTATTTATTATATCACCGTAAAAAACAAATTTAATTTATTTACATTCAATTCAAAATTACACCATTACTAGTGTCGGGATTAAAGAATTTATAACATTATTCCTTATATACTTTCACTTCAAAATATTGACAACTAATTCAATTTTAGATAATTCCCACCTACGAAAATTGTAGAACAGTGATACATATGTGTACCTAAATCAGTTCTGCAAGTAAAAGCCAGATAATTCATATGGAGGTTCAAGTAATCACAGAAATAATTAATGACAATTTGCTTAATTCACACGAGTATTAGAGGATTCATAACAATATTTCTTACCACCTAACCTTAATTAAAAATTTATATATATAAATAAATAAAAGTTGGAAGAGTTATACTTGATAATTCATACATAACCTCAGCTGCCACAGCAAATATTCCTTTAGATTGTGTTTGAATTCTTAGTGACAGCTCAAGAACATATTTGCTTAGTGAAGAACAGAATTAATTAATTAATATTTAATATTAAAACATCAATAATAATTGCTCAACTTCAACGACCTCCATGAAATGCTCTGCAAGTTTTATTATTATTAGTGGGCATCCCCTAAATATGTGGTGTTGATTCTATTTTACATTGTTTTTCTTCTAGTTTGACTTTGTTTTCTTAATTTCGACGCGGTTCTTATTTCAACCCCGATGCTTCATATGTAATACTATATCCGGTCCTAAATATAAGAACTAGTTAACTAATTTGAATAAATTAAGAAAATAAGTTAAGTTAGTTATTTGTTATAAATAGGTGTTGTATTTCCTAAAATGTCCTTGCTAATCAAGTGTATTGGCTAGAACTACCATTATTAAAAAGGCTACCTTAAAAAAGAAATAAATATGAGAGACCAAGTAGATTAGAATCTTATATTTAAGACCAAAATAAAAATCAAACAAGATCTTATATTAAGGACCGGAGGTACTATGTTAATTTAATCCGATCATATTAATTAAAAACCTTAATGGTTGGGCACTCAGCTGTGGCCAACGCATGTGATTAGTGTATAAAATCTGTAATGTCAATATCATTTTTAACACATAACCGACTGTGAACAGAATGAAAATAATATTATATAGAAGGTAAAATTTAGGTCAAGTTCTTTAATCACATTTGTTATTTCACTATTATTAATTATTAAAATGTGTAAACACACTTGTGAATTTGCCTACAAACACATGTAATTTTTTGTACAAGTTCTTACAATGTAAATTAGTATTTGTGAATTTTCATATGGACATTTATTATTTTGTTATTGTTTGTTGTTAAAATAAACATGCGCACTTATAAATTTACCACCGATGAATACTTATTATTTTATCATTAGTAATTGTTAAAATATATTTCTTCAACTGTCAATTCAACTATAAATTTAACCATAACTAATTCGATCTAAATTTTTTCCTACTCCATATTGTTAATTATAACACATCTAAAAAAAATACTACCTTCGATTATTAATATAAGATCTGTTTTACAGTGCAAATTATGTTACAAAGTAAATTTTATATTAATATGAAAGTAGTATATAATAATATGTATTATTCAATATCATAAACCACATACATGTGTAAAATTGAGTTGATCAGAATGAAGAAAATTGACAAATATTTCAAATTTTTAAGACAATAATTTAACAAAATTTTTTTAGTCCCCGCAAGAAATATCTCACACGAAAAATATGTGATAGGCAATTTTTACCACAACATATTAAGTCCCAAAATTAATCTATATATATATATATATCTATATGATTATGCCACACTCGATGTTATTTGGTTAGATGTGAGTATTATTGCTTATTCCTCTAGTCTTTTTTATAAATCACTTCTAATATGTTTTACACAAACCAAGAAAAACTTTAAACTTTATTAATTCGGACAAAAAGAATACTTTATCTCTCAGTACCTTATAAATAGGACAAAAAGATATCTTCTCTCTCTGTCTTATAAATCGGACAAGAGGAGTACTTTATCTATCAGATTCTAAGGCTCACATTCTAGAGAAATCAAATATTTTCTGCCAGACCTAGCTATTACTGGTTATCAATAAAAAAACATGTTGATTTTAATTAAAACTAAGATTAAATATAGCTTGTTTTATTTGAGAAATCCTATATATTTTCAGAAAAAGATGAGACCTGCATGATTTAAAAATAAAATACCGTATAAATATTAATTAGATAGAGAAAAGATTCAAGAGTAAACTTCACGGATAAAAGGTTATGGCATATAATAAAGTGTTCACCGAAAAAAGTAGTGTGCAGCTTCAACTATGAATAAACTAAGGTTATATTATATATTAACGCGTAATATCTTTTGTCAACCACTCACTTACAGCCAGCTGGCAATTTTTGAGAAGTCAACAAACTGTCTTATTTTTCATTTTTTTCTAACCCCATTTTGGTAAAATACTTAATTAATTCATATCTTTTTCATTAAAATTTAAAATATTAACGCGCTATTTACACTGACCACCTCCACGCTAATTTCTTGGAAATTAATTAGTGTATACATCCATGTGGGACATGAGGCAAGAAAATGTGGGGCATTCAAGTGAGGAATAAATTTTTAATAAAAAATTCAATTATTAATTTTGTCAGTACTGTTTCATTCATGACGCTTTTATTGGATGTATTCAGTATTCTTAAAATTATTCCACCCACAAAATTAAAAAAAAAAAATGAAACCTTCCTGATTTAGATTTTTTTTGCCAGCCCTTTCTAATTTATATGTCTAAATTATACGTAATTTTCCTTAATTTCGAGTCACATGCAAATGAATTTTTTTAGTTTAAAATTCGATGCAAAATTTCTTTGAAGTTTTAAGTTTGTTTTTATAACCGGTCACCTGTCGTTTTTAGTACTTTTTCTGGATTTAAGTTCTGTCATCAAAAAGATATTTACATGAAAATCAAACCGTATGTTTAAAAATAATTTTATGATACACGAAGTAAATATATAGAAGAATTTGTCTTGATTTAAAAAAAAGTTTTGAAAAAACACTTTTTACGCCATCCAAATACCCTCAAAGATACCTCTTTTTAGGGATTTTTTTTTTTTTTAATAAGGTAAGATTTGAACTCCGTTCGCCCACTTGGTAATTTAACTCATCCATTAGTAGACGAGACTAATTTTTTTTTTGGCCAAAGTAGACGAGACTAATTGAGTTTGGATTTTTTAAGTTTATGGAGACACCTTGTGAAGTGCATGAATTTTTTTTTTTTGCCAGCGCAGTATATGATACTTTATTGAACTTCTCCAACTTTGAATTGCAGGTTTGATAAACTTTACTTATGAGTTGAAAATAATTGCTTTCCTGGAAAATTAAGTAAATTGCTTCATGAATCATGATATACCCTATAAGTTATGTTTGTAATTTTGTATACTGAAAATTTTTCGTAACAGTTTAAAATTTTCTTAATTAGGATTAGCTACCTAATTAACAGTAAATGTAATCCGTTAATTAAAAAAAATAAATGTAATCTATTTAAAATTTTTAGCATGACTCAAATTCCCCCTTATTCCGCAATTATTTTCTCAGTCCATAATAGATCATGCCTCCTTGAATAATTGAAAATAGATTATAACATGAAATACTTATAACCACGATGTTGATCATAATAAGGTTAAATAGCACAAATCATGAATCATGAACAAATAATCTTTTAACGTTTAAAACTTAATACTACCTCTAGTCCTTAACATAAGAATTAGATAATTAATTTGGATACATGCAAAGTTAATTGTATTGAAAGTTGTATGTATAAATAAGAGGGGGTTTATTGTAAAAAAGGATTAGGAAAGTTACCTGCACCATAACTCAAAATTTAAAGGGCTATGTATAATTTAACTTAATAATAACGATAATATGGAGGTTGAATTTTGGAAGGTAAGTCATGTGAGAAAGAGATAGATCATAGATGTCGGCATGGTAGTACTAACAGGAACACACCTAAAATAACAGAAATAGCAGGGTTGAGATAATTTTTGGTTCATCAAGTTTGTTATCATTTTGATTTTAGTCTCTTAAGTTTTAAATCATAAGTTTTGATCTCTTAAAAAGCAAAAAGATCTAAATTTTTATTAAATTATAAGGATTAATATTTTAAATAAAAATTTTTTGGGATACCAAAACTTATAATTTGAAATTCGAAGGATAAAAAATAAAATAATAATAAATTTGAAAGAGAAAAAATTATATTAATTCAAAATAATATTTGGAAAGTGGGGGAGAGAATAGAAGCCTCCAAATCAGTCAGGACTAAAATAATTGTAGGAGAGGTAATGGACAAATTTGACATCAGAAGTGGGGGGCACAAATTCACGTAAATTTTTAGCTAACTAATTAATTAAATTATTCCTGAAAAAAATATTTTATCCAACTTACAAAAAATAAACTAGGTGGACCCCACAGACTGCATAATAATACACCACAACTTAATTATTAGCATGAATTTTATATTTTATATGAATAAAAAAATTTCTCGGCAAAATATTTCCTTTCACAGTTTAGTTTCTCTTCACTGGCAGCAACATTTTTTCCAATATATATATAGAGAGATGTATATCAGATTGTGATCTGTCTTTCTTTCTTGTCATAACTTCCAACCAAATTAAGATGGACCCTTCTGTAAAACTGAAACCAGTTGAAGAAGGTCACTATTTTTAGCCTCCTTTTTTCTCCAGATTTTCTTTTATATCCTCCTTCCTCCTCTCTCTGTCCCTTCTTCAATCCCATTCAGCTTCTTCCATTTCATCTGCTGAATCAGAACACACAAAACAAGAAAAAAGAAGGCATCATCATGAAGCAGAGGAAGAAGACGACTACTATGAGCTGGATTCCTCCGATTTCATTCATCCCCATCTGCTTCTTCCTCTTCTTACCCATCATTGCTCATGGCTTAAAGGACCAAGCTTCAGCTACATTGAAGCTTGAGTTGATTTACAGGGACGACCCTCGAGTTCAGTTCCATGGCAGAAAACAGAGTCTTGATAGGTTCGAACGCGTCAAAGAGCTTGCTCGCAGAGACATGATTCGCCACACAAGGAGGAAGGCTTGGGAAACTTTTGACATGCCAATGCACGGGGGGAGAGATTTAGGAGCTGGAGTGTATTTTGTGCAAGTTAAAGTTGGGACACCATCTCAGAGATTCTGGCTTATTGCAGATACAGGAAGCGATCTCACATGGTTTAACTGCAATTACAAGCCACAAAATTTCACCTCACGTCGTAAGAGAAAATCTCCTAGCCGAAGGAGGGTGTTTTCTCCTCATCGTTCTCGTACTTTTCGACCAGTGACTTGTTCATCTCTGGAATGCAAGGCTGATCTCAGCCATCTGAGTTCTCTACGGACTTGTCCTAATACTTCTGCTCCATGCCTATATGACTACAGGTATGAATTTTCGTGGCCAAGTTTCGATTTTTACAGTAAACAGATTGATGGGATTGTTCTGAAATACAATCTGCAACAAGTTTTGTGGCCAATTAATTGTGTCTTTCTGTGTCTCAGATTTTGAAAAAGTTTTGTGGGGGAGGGAGACAGACGACGACTGTTAGGAGGGGATGTCCTTGTTTAAATTAAGTAGCCAAGTCCAGATATAAAAGCTAGCCAAAAATAGTTGGAACAAGTCCTTTTTGTCCTTCTGGCGTTTTGAGTTTGTTTTTTTTTTTTTAATTGAAGGTGATGTTTACTAGCATCATTCATAACCTATGCTAGCCCATATAGATGTCCTAGAAACAAAAGTGCATTTATACTTCTGAAAGGCGTTAGTGTATTTATAAGCTTTGCTTTACTTATTCACACATCATGATCAATATTGACAAAGTGCTCTATGATTCATGTGGAACATCCGCAATATGTGCATGTAGCATTATTGCAGATAATGTTGTGCTATGACCTTTATCAAACAGATAGCATAGCAACCATTCTTTCCAGCATTCAAGCAATGGTTATAAATGCTAGTTAATGCAAGTAGGTGAGCTTCACATGACGCAAATTTCTGCACCAAACCCAGAAACATAACATAACCTTATGGGCAATACTCTGCTATTAATGAACCTTATAGGCTCTAACTAGAAACCCATTCTAGTTTTTCAATCAATATATCCTACTCTGCAACCATATTGACCTGTCTTCTTGATCTTATGCTGTACAGCTACCTTGATGGGTCAGGAGTAATGGGATTATTTGGCAGAGACACTTTCACAGTAGGCCTCACAGATGGGAGAAAAGGCAAACTGAAGAACATGGCTATTGGGTGCACAAGATCTGTCGTTGATGGTCCAACGGTCAGCAAGGACATTGATGGCTTATTAGGGTTAGGTCTTTCGGAAGATTCATTTGTTTCCACAGCTGCTTCACAATACGGAGGCAAGTTCTCATACTGCTTAGTTGACCATCTGAGCCACAGAAATGTTTCAAATTTCCTCACTTTTGGCACAGTAATTACAAAAGCAAGCCTCCTGAGAGAAATCCACACAACCCCACTTGTAGTAATCGGTTCAAATTATGGTCTAAATATGGTAGGCATCTCCATGGGAGACCAGCTTCTGAGAATCCCACAAATGATTTGGGATTTCAATGCTAATGGAGGAGTCATACTTGATTCAGGCACATCCTTGACACTTCTAACCATGCCTGCTTATCTATCTGTCATAGAGGCTCTGGTGAAACCTTTGGATCGGTTAAAGAAAATGAAGGCATTTGAACCATTTGAGTATTGTTACAGTACAAAGGGGTTCAATGAGAGTTTAGTGCCTAGACTGGCTTTTCACTTTGAAGGTGGTGCAAGGTTTGAGCCACCAGTGAAGAGCTATGTGATCGATGTGAATCCAGAACAGAAGTGCATTGGGATTGTTGGAATCGACTGGCCTGGTGTTTCAATCATTGGAAATATTATGCAGCAAAATCATTTGTGGGAATTTGATTTGTTTCATAACACTCTGAGGTTTGCTCCGTCTCCATGCTGATGGTATATACCATTTAGTGAGGTTGGTTCTTCAATTGCAGGAGAAGAAACTCCAAACAGACTAAACAGAAAAGAAGCAAAGTGACTTTTGGGACTTGTTTTAGTTTCTTTGTTGTTATTACTGTGATGTGATTATGATGCTGATCAATATATTCTTTCAATTTTATCCTTCTCTCTTTCTTTGTTTAATAATACATACAAATGTGTATCATAAAGCAAGTGAAAGTTTCTTTTGGTGTGACTCAGAACAATGTTTCCCCTGAAAATGTATGGTATATAGTACTAACGTTTACCCTCTTTTTTTTCCTTTCCTTTTTTTTTTTTTGGAATTTCCAAGTCACCCCCCAATAATTTTGTACTCCTCCAGTCCTTAATATATGACCCAATTGTTGAGTTGGTTTTGGTCCTAAATATAATATCCATTTCTCATATTTATCAGTTTTATCTAAATTAACCCTATGGATACTCTCTCAACCATAATCAAGTAGAAGAAGAAGAGGAAGTATTAAGAAAGATGCTTATGGTATTCTAAGAAAAATGTGTTACATTTCTTATAATTAACTAAGTTACCTAACTTCTCTAATCTAATCAAATTAATTAAATAGATCTTATATTAAGGACCGAAGGAGTATTTTTTATATGAATGAGCTGTCTATGACCAAACCTAAGAAATATTCGTTGAAATATTGACAAATTGATTTGGCTGGCATTTGGCTTGGCGCCTTTGGTTTGGAAAATTACATAAAATAAGACAATCATGAATGAAAATATGCAAATACAAGGATCTAGGCAAGATTTTCTTCACAAAAAAAAAATGGAGATAAAATAAAGTTAGTCTTCAGGAATACTTTATTGTTTAGGTGAAACAACAAAGGTAACTAATATATAGTCAATGTTACATTTGCAAAAAGATATTCCTTTTTTCTTTTGGGTTCATGCACAATGATCATATCCTTGTCCTTACCTAAAACCATGTGAGGAGCTTTTGACAATCTTAACCATGCTCCATTATTGATTTTGTTCTCGTTGCTATTTCATCTTCAAGTATATAAGTATCATATATATGATTTTAAATTATATTTTTTAATTTATCTTTATTTAAATTTTATTATCATGTTTATTTATATGAGATCAATTTTTATATATTTACTCCTCTGGTTCTATTTATAAGAAACTTCCAGCATGTTTCACATAGATTAAGAAAAATCTTAAACTTCATTAACTCTCATTTAAAATATAATAATTTTTCAACTTTATCCCTATTTAATATATATTATACTTCATCTAAACAAAGTCAACACAATAATAAATGAGGGGTAAAATTGTACATCAATACCAAAAATTTCTTTCAATACCCTATAAATAGGACCAAAAAATGTGTTATCTCTCTACCCTATAAATAGTACCAGAGGAGTATGTTATAATAAGGATTGGGAAGTATTTATTTTACTCAATCCTTAAACCACTTTAGAAATATTCACATTAAAGAATCATTATTAATAATAATTCATTGGGAGATACTCAAAACTAAGAAGAAAAATATCTCATGCATAAAAAGTAAAAAAACAAATCACCACACAATTTTGAAGGCCGATGCAATGTTACATTGATCAAACATATTCAACATTGTATTTAAAATTCCTCAAAAATATTACTCCTCCGGTCCTAAATATAGAACCCGTTTTATAATACAAATTACACTAAAAATAGGTTTTATATTTAGGACCAAAAGAATATTAAAATAAAATATCTGTTTTCCTTGACAAGCAATCCAAGCCCAGCTTTGACCAAAAAAACATCTTAGAATTCAACAAGAATATGGAATTCTTGCATTATCCTGTACGGATATTAATCATTCATATGAAAAAAAGTTGTGTCAATATGTATAATCACAAACATATCTGATAGACACAAATCTCTTTCTTTCTCTTTACACACAAACACATGCACGTACACAAAATATTATCTTGCAGCTTAGGTTAGGACGCAAAGATCATTCATGCTCTTACAAATGAACTCACAAACGTATGTGAGAGTGCCACAACAACGGTTGACGTGGAGGAACCCCATTAGCAGATAATAGATAGATAATCCAAGTTAGTTATGATGATTGGAAAGGACAAAACAAACCCAGAAGAGATTATATCCATGTTGAATAAAGTGAAAATGTAGTTTGCTTTTTTAATTTGTGGATCATTTTTGGATAGTGATATGTGTTGAGACAACTCAACTTATGAAAATTGTTATTTAATTAATTACGTAAAATAATAATGATCACCATCATCATCATCATAATTAAAATAATAAGAGAAGAGTGTAGATCGATGATGGACCCATGAAAATGAAGAAGACAGAGACCTTTTCGTAGCAGTTATGAATTTAACAGTTTGAACTTTCAAGTTCATGGTTTACAGGTCATAATTGCATTGGTGCCCAGCTGTTGATAATAACATAATTCCTGCGAAATCTTACCACGTGCAATGTCTTGCGGCTCTCGCCATTTCATTTTCAGGATTGTCGCCTTCCCACCACCATAGTATTTTAAAAAACAAATTTTTTTTTTAAGTTTAACTATTTTATGTAATTAATCAAAATAGTCTAAACATGAAAAATAATAGAAAGGGTTAATATGCAAATTTCTTGCGTACATTAATACAATAAAGTTTTCTTGAATGCAACAATACAAATATCTATACATTGCATCACATGACATAGACATAACTCTGCGGTTACTAACTAGATAACACTTTCCTTTGTTTTAGATATTTATCGACCTTTAGTTGGCATATATTCTTTTAAATAGGGTTATTAATATAATTTTTAAATTTTAAAATTTGAGTTCATTTTAATTTTGATCACCGAAATTTAAAACTAGTGTTTTTAATCTTTAAAATTTGCTCTGTCTATAAAGTTCTCGTAAGTTAAATGGTGTTAAATATTGCTAATATGACACAAAAACCATCAATTTCGATAATGTGACCTGATGAATAAGTAAAATAATTTAGTATCCTTTTACTTTATGTGGGTATATGAAAATATAGAGCAAGAGCTCCAAAACACAATGCACAAAGAGCAACAAAACTTATTAATTAACTAGAAACATCAAACAATAGGATAAGGATGCCATATATCCACATAAACTATTAAGGTGACTACTAAGATGTTAGCTTATTTTACTCAGTAATAGGCCACATCGTCGAAACTAATGATCTTCATATCAGTAATATTCAAAATCGTTTAACTTGTAGGGACAAACGTTTATAGATAGAGTAAATTTATAAGGACAAAAAACACTGGTTTGGGATTTCAGATATCAAAATCAAAACGAGTTTAAATTTTAAAGACTAAAGATTGTATTGACCTTCTCATATACTCATATGGTTTTATTCATAAGGCACTTTCAGTATGTCTCACACAGATTAAGAAAAATCTTAAATTTCATTAACTCTAATTTAAAATTTAATAATTTTCCAACTTTATCTCAATTTACTATACATTATACCTCATGTAAACAAAGTTAACACAGTAACAAATGATGGGTAAAATTGTACATCCATACAAAAAAAAAATTCTCTCAATGCCCTATAAATAGAATAAAAAAATATATTCTCTCTCTGCTCTATAAATAGGATCAGAGGAGTATATTTTCGGAGCACTAATTATAAGATAATATGCACACATATGTGTAGAGTTGAATGCTTTAATTAATGTGTGAAAATAAATTGAGGAAATTGTAGGAGTGATAAGGAATATTATTTAAGTATAAATGATTGAAGAAACATAAATTGAGGCGGGTTCAACGGGAATCACAAGCAAATTGGTGTACCTACTTTGCTTCCTACTCTCGTCTCTGGGTGTCTTATTGTCATCCTTTTTCTGAATGCAACTTTGCCTCTTCCCTTTTCATATGCATCTTTTCACATTCTCCATGTGCTCTATTCCCCTTATACCCTCTCACACATTTCCACTGCATCTCTCTTTATATATATACATTATATATAGAGAGAGAAAGCTATTGCACATTGGGTGAGAAGACTTTTTTTGGTTATGATTGATTAAATATGGTATATTTGCCCCCCTTTGAGTTAATTATAGAGAAATAATTTTATGATGTACCAAATAAATATGTGAGAATGGTTTTATCTAATAAAGTATATAAGTAGCTTTTCAATCATGATTTACGAAATACGAGGTAAGTATGTGAGATAAATTTTGTCTCAGCTTATATAAAATGTGTTTATAAGTGATTTCAAACATGATGTTCAATGGGGTCTAAAACATAAGTCATGATTAGGAGATGGTTAGTGAATTAATGATTTTGTTTTTGGATTGGCTAATACGAGTACACTTAACAGAAGTAGTGATAGAAAATAAATTAATTCTTTGACAATTCTAATGAGTTATTCATTTCTTTTTGGTACCCATGAGATTGTTGTGGAATATAACTCGTATTCTGAAATGGAAGGAGAATTATTTACAACTTTTAATAGTGTGATTATCTATGTAATTTTTATTTTTCAATAATTATTTGGTATATATGGTATTTTGACTATTATGAATAATTAATATGAGCATTGTTAAGTCGGAATAATAGGTACCTACCGAATTTCCACAAGACATTACTTTTTTTTAAAAAAACATTTGACCCAATCATCATTTCTAGCTTCACATGCTTTTAAATGGATCTTGATTTAGACAGGCTAATTTATTTTTTAAAAAAATCGGGTCTAATTTAATAATTGAAAATCATATTGATTTCGCTATTTTGGATTGTTCCTTCAAATGTGGAGAGGAACCTTATTAAATAGCACAAGATACAAGAAAAGGGGAAAGTGTGAAATTCCAATTTAGATTTTGGGAACATTGCAAATGGAAAATACAAATAGAAGACGTTAAGATTAACTTTAATGGAAGATTGAGTTTGAGATGATATCTTATACACACACATATATATATTCATATATAAAGGTAGAGGAAGATGATTATTCTATTTTCCTAACGTTGCATGCGTAAGTAATATTTTAGCTATTCCAATGTAAATTTGAAGTGATTTGTTTTTTCCTAGTCACCTTGTGGACCAAAATGAACCCTACAGTCTACACAACAAATATTTTTTATTTTGGTTGCCCAGAGTATCCTCTCACCTGAACAGTAAGAAACTAATTTTTCGAGGTACAGTCAGACACCGTAGTGGAGATTCCTCCCAACAATATTTTTTCTATATACACCGTCTTAAAAATCAAACTAAAAACATGATGTTTAAGGTGTTTAAATCCCTTCTACTTGAACTAATACTTGTTG